CTTTCTCTTAATATTTGTTTTCCAGATTTCACAGTTAACAGATTTAACAAACTGAGTTTGCTTTTATAGCTCATTTCATTCATGTTTTTTATAACTGAAAAGAAACAATTCCTTCCTAGTAGGGTTTTCCAATTGTATCTTGAGTTGTCTGTATTATCATTTTCTTCCTTTTTCTTTCTGAGAACCTAGAACAAGTGTTTATCTGTTCTTAATATGAAGAATCTGAATCAGTAAAGTATGCACTTGGTGTGATGTAGTAATAGCAGTAAGTATGGAGCACAAACTCCTTAAAATCCTTTTATTACCCTTTCTTAGCTGCTGTCTGTTAGATTGCACTAGTGTCTTGCTGACAGAGGTAATGGGCTGAAGGGATGGGGTAGAGAGACCTACTGTTTGTCTGTCTTTTCTTTCCTTTTTTGGGGTTGTTGACTGGTGTAGAATTTCTTCAGCCGCTCTGTTGGCTGAAGGCCCTATCTGCCAGGCCAGGTCAGCACGGCTGCTCTGATCCCAGCTATCTTCTTTCCTGGGAATTCTCAGCCTCTCTGCACTGTACCGAAAGAAGCTAATGAACAGGGGAGCTCAGAATAAGGATCAGCTATATTCATCAGCTGTGGATATGTCCCCATTTTTGTAGGGCCCTCGGGCATATTGCCAAATGCGATGTTCTAATTAGGACAAAGCAATAGTTTAATAAACAAAACTTGGACCAAAATTAAATGTACCTAAGGCATGTTGTACATGCAAACCTATTATATTACCAGGCTTAAAAGCTTTGGTAATGAAATGTAGCATATGTATGTCACGTTTATAGCAACTAAGACTCATGAAGTATAGGAAAGAAACTTTCTGGGGGAAGGAATTGCAGATTTAAACTGTAACTATCTGTGTTCAAAACTGTGTTGCCTTTCTGATAAAACTGGTTGCAAATGTTTTTGTTCGAGCTGTATGGCAGTTAATGGCAGTGATGCTCTTTAATGCTTGAAGTGAGGAAATAAAAAATCTTTAGTAGATTATTATGCTGTAAAGCATCCCTGAAAGCGAGGCAATAGAAATGTAAATGAACTATAAAATATTAGGTATTTCAGAGATTTGGTTGTAGCCTCTGTAACACCTGCACTGCCTAGAGGTACTGAAGATCTGATTAGTTTTATAATTTTGGGCAGATATCTTCTGTATAATCTAAAAAATACATGCATATTATGTGACCGCCAGATCTTGTCTACACCTTGAGGCTTTTACAGGTGCAAACCTTGATTTCTATTACACTTTTTTAAAGTCCTCATCCCCCGCTGAAAATAGGGATTGTTAGTTGAACCGTTTTTCAGAGGTGCGGTGCCAGCGCAGGCAGTGAGTGTTAGTGTTTCGTGCAGGACTACTGCACTGCCTAGTCATGCAGTGAACTGGGGAGCTGATCTAGGATTGAAAAGGAATAAAAAAAGAAACCCCAAGCCCCACAGCTTTTTTTTTTCCCCTTGGCCGGCCCCAGATCAGTTGTTTAATCTGGTTCTGTGTGCAGCCTCAGAGGTTTATGCCAGTATAACTCAGTGAAAAGGCAGTCTGTGTTCTGGCAAGAATAAATGCTTGCTGGATGGCAGCATCATGGGTGCTTTAGAGAAAAAATGCTTATATACCTGTCTTGACCCAGTTTTACTGTTTCAGATGAAATTATATGTATTCTCTAGGTATTTGACAAATGCAGATTTCAAATTTTCTTCTACATGTCTTTGAGCATGGCAAATAATTCATGTTAATCTTGGTGCCAAGAATCATTTTCCCCTGGGTCCTATAGCGATCAATTGATATTGGTGGCATGTGAAGTCACAATTAAGTTGAACACTCTGTGTGGAAAAGTGCTTTCCAGAGCTTTTCTTAGCTTTCTAAATCAATATAATGTAGTATACATACTTTGTGCTTTAATGTGCTTTTTAAAGTGTGTGGGGGGGTGCATTTAAGCCAGAACTGCCATTTTATATATAAAATGTAAACTTTTCTAAGTGTTTTTAAAATTAATCATCTTCCCTCTCTAAGAAAAAAATAAAGTGAGTGTAATCCTTAGGCAAATGTGAATTTATTTATTCCACTTTACGGCTCTTTCAGATTTCCCAGTGCACCCTCCAAATCATAGCCCACCATGGTGATATAATGAATTACGACAACTTCCGGAGTTATCCTGAATCCGTATTTGTAAAGGAGCTTCTGATTTAAGCTAACAGAGAAGGAAAGTGACTTGGGAGTGCATGTGCAGGGGGGGGTTGGACTAGATGTTCTCTAAAAGTCCCTTCCAACCTTAACGATTCTGTAGTTCTTTGGGAGCTCTCTCTGGCCAGCAGTTGGAGAGCCTGAATCTGAGTATTTTGTGTTCAAGATCACTTTTTTTGACCAAATATTTCTTAGCACAAGTCCTCACTTTAGCCTGGTGTCTTCCCTTTAGCTGCTTGTTTCCACGCTTGTGCTTCACCAGCACTCTCCTGGCTTAAGGAGTGGTGTGGCTGAGCAGCGATCTGGTCTAGATTCAAAACAACCATGTGGGCAGCGAGCGCAATGTCAGGTTGCATCTGAAGTCATTCCCTGATGTGCATCAGCAGGTGCCTGTGAAACCGCCTGCCCTGGTGCCAGGGCAGCCCTGCAGCTTGGAAGCGAGCAAGGGGGGAAGGGAACAGTCGTTAAAGTCACACTGGCAAATGATGTCTTTGTCACTATTTTTTCCTGGGTTATTCAGCCATCAGACTTGTGTAGCTGTAGAATATTTGAATTTTAAACTATGTTAAGACTGGGGATATTACAGGTTTTCAGCAGAAACCTCACAGACTGTGGCAAACACTGCAAAATGTGCTTATTTTTTGATGTCTGAGTAAATATTAGTGCTTGTCTTTATCCTAGCATCTTCACCTGCTTAACCTTCTTCTTTGTCCTTCTTTTCACCTGTAGTAGAAACTTGATTTTCTTCTCTTTGTCCTCACGTCATTTTAAAACCTGATCTGTTCAATGGCATGTTACTTTAGAAGTCTATTCACTGGTAACACATAGTAATAGCAATGCTGGCTTAAATCTATTTTGTTAAAGTGTTGCAGACATTAAATTGCTCTGTAGTTTGCCTGAGGCAGTATTAGTGTCACGCAAACCAGCAGCTAGAATTGCAATACAGCTGATATTCAGCTTCCCTGCCGTGCTGTGCTTCTTAGAGTAGATTATCACCATTGCAAGGTATTTAACCTCTAGTTTCTTGTTTGCACCTCATTTTGGGATTGCAGTTAAGTAATTTTACCTACCATGGAAGAGGAGGGAAAAATAACAACAACAACAAAAAAAAACCCTTGTGAGCTACTCCACTTGTTGGGCAGGTATTCAATTTATTTATTGACTGAAGGTGTTGAGACAGCTAGGATAAGAATTTCTTCCGTGTTTGTTTATCTGCTATAAGCTCATGAAGTCGGCGACTGAGGTGGCTTCCTCAGTTAACATTTTTACAAGCCCATGCATTTTTGTTTTCCCATGGGTTTTCAAAGACCCATGGGTTTGTTTTCTTTCCCTTTTTCCAGAATATCTTTATCCCATTGGCTCAGTAGTGTTAACGGTTTCCTTGTGAAATATGGTTATATAATGTTCAGTTTGTATTATGGTTTGCAGAATTTGGAAATAGTGATTACCACTCTATTTGGAGACAACAGGTGACAGTGCTGTTCTGCTTGCATGTTGTCCTGAAGCCAATGGAGTCTCTTTCAGCCACTGTAAGAGGAATTTTGCATGAGAAGGGAAGGAAGTTCATTAAGGGCATCTGATTTTAATCCACACACTATTGGATTTCTTATTCTAAGTATAACGATATAATTATTACTGCAGTAAAACCAAGTCATGTCACACTTCAACCAAGTCATGCTAACATACTGTACTACTTCCTACCTAATTGCAAATGAAAAGATGTTGATATGGAGGAGCTTTGGTTATGTTAGTGCTCAACAGAAGTTGATGCAGTTGAACAACTCTACTACAATACTTTTAAGGTCTTGAAGTGCTGAGTGGAATGTGCTTTTTTGCCAAAAGCCAACCTAATCTTAGCCCTTAGTGCTGCAGAAAGGTGATCCTGCCATCCCTGGGAGCATAGAGTCAGCTATGTTGAAGGACCTGGTCCTGCTGGCTCTGTAAGCAGCTGTACAAATACAAAATGGGGATGTGTGACAGAAGGGGGACTAAGTGGCCCTTTCAGTAGCAAGATGGACTAGATGGGTATAATCTGTTTAACATGGGGATAAGAAATAATGCTTATATGAAGTAGGATGCTTTTGCCCAGATGGAGCGGAAAGCAAGAGGTGCTACAGATACCTGCCTAAAGCCCCCAAATATCCAGCATGAATATGTTGATCAAAAACCAGTGCAGCTTCAAAACTGGTGGTATTTGTTAAACTGTCCTCAAAAACTTTGAATTGACATTGGATTTTTAAAGGTGAATACACAGCATAATATTGACACATTAGCAATTGGTGCTTCCAATGATTTCTGTCTCCTGTAGCAAAAACTGATGTGAGAATTTGGCAGAATGATTTGCATTCTTTGAGAGGAGATTACTATTGTATGAATTGCTCATAAATTCAGAATAAACTTAAGCCCTCTGGAAACTTTTTTGAGGAATGGCTGTTTTCAGCTTTGAATTTGGTAGTGGGTTTCTGTTATGTTTTCGTTGGTGTTGGAAGACTGAAACTTCATTATGTCCTCGCTGGCTTACTCGGACTCTTCTTTCCTTTGTGCATCACAGCCCAGGATAAAATTTGCAGTTTTTGACTGGCTTTTTATATGCATAAATCTATAAATGTGCTGTCCATTAGAATAGCTATGACTAAGGCTTCCTCTGTTCTCAGACTTTCTTATCTGTGTGTTTATACTGGGACATGTCTCTACGATGTACTGTTGTAAAAATGTTGTTTTTATTTCGCCATGCCTTGAGTATAAAATAACTCGTCATCCAAATACTGTGTGTACAGCTTCAGTTCTTTTCCTTAAGTCATGGTAGTGTTCTCTCTTGCAGATATTTCATGCATGGAGTTTGCAAGGAAGGAAACAACTGTCGCTACTCCCATGACCTCTCCACTAGTCAGTTTCCCATGGTGTGCAGGTATTATCAGCGAGGATGCTGTGCTTACGGAGATCGTTGCAGGTAAGGAAATGCCATTGGCTATTTTAGGAGAGTAATTTTTCTTAGAAATTGCCCTGAGTAACAAGTCAAAGAAAGACAGTAGACATCTGGAAATATTTTCTTCCTGTATTGCAACAGTATTTTTTTTTATATAAAAAATGACTTCTCTTTGCAAGTTGCCTTCTCTTGCTGAATATTGTAGCGTTTGCTTTGCTACCTAAATAAGTAGACAAAGACGAGGCAAAAAGAAAATGACTGTTTCTCATAAAATGTTGCCTAAAGAAATTGGCAACATTAACTGTATTTTTAAAACATAACATCACCATGAAATGATAAGGAAAAGCATGAACCCAAGGAATTGGTGCTTTCACAGTGTAGTCTCCAGTAGGTTCACACCTTTTACAAAGGCTTAGGGATATTCCATGTCATCCTCAGTCCACTTAGTTAACATTTTACTGCAGTATTAGCAATCTGGCAGCTGTCATATATGAATAAATGTGTGCATTGTGATTGTAGACAGTGCATCGGATAGCTTTGCTTCCATGTTCCGCATACAGTTACCGTGTATAAGGTGGATTGCCCTCTGCACATCTGCCAGTGCTGCTTTCTCGAAAGCCTACTTTTAAAATTTGTGCTTCGCAGCTTAATTTCAAAACCCAACATTGGTTTGGGAGCATCTCTTTAGTATATAATCTCTGTATTTTCAGTGTGAAACAAGGAAGCTGAATCGCAGATGCTCAAATGTTTCATATAATCCCCATGTATTATTTCCCTTTCACTTTGAAATCAGTTGGTGATTATCTAAGACTTCATGGGAAACTAAATCACAGGTCCACCTTTGTGGTCTCCCAGTTAGTGAAGACAGAGTTTTGAGAGAATCAGCATCTTCTTGATGGTGGCTAGGGACTTGCATGGTTCTAAACATTTTCTCCAGCAAGTTGCAAGTGTCATTAGATGCAATTTCTAACGTTTAATCTGAGGGAAGATGCTGAGATCCATACAACATATCAGAAAATAGTTTAGGTCAGAGGAGGTATCTGGAGGTCATCTAGTCCAAATCCAGCTGAAAGCAGGACCCATTTACCTTACATTGCCCAGGGCATTGTCCAGGCAAGTTCTCGGCATCTCCAAGGATGGAGGCTTGGAAATTCTGCAGCTTCCCTGGCACCTGTTCCAGTGCTTTACTACTCCCTCAATAACTCTTTTCTCTTTCTTCCCCCTCCTCCCCACCCCCCGATATCTAATTTGAATTTGCCATGGTGCAATTTGTGTCTGTCTATTCTGTCGCTATCACTGCATCTCCGTGAAAATTCTGGCCTTGCCTTTCCCACTAGATAGTTCAGTCCAGGAGTGTCTCACTCTTGTTTTCTCCTCTAAAAGCTGAACCAATTAATTTTGTCAACGGGTAGTAGTGCTTGTGGGTAATAGCTGTAGGACTAGCTTTGGACATACTTCAGTAAAAGTTAAATATAAGTACATTCTATGCAAGTTAAGTAAACAATGTGCATGTTGCTCCATTTCCTGAATCACTGAATGCGTTCCTTAAGCAGTCTTGTCAAGTTACACAAGTAGAAGAAGCACTTCCTTATAAGGGTATCAGTGGCTTTCTGTTTCAAGGCAATTCTCCCTGCAAAATGGTGTTTTACATCTTAATTTACTTCCAGTCCATAAGACTGCTGTATAAAAGTATCTCTCATCAAGAGTTGATCTGTTTTAACTTGTTAGATATGAACATACCAAGCCACTGAAACAGGAAGAAGTGACTACTGTGAATCCAGCTGCAAAGACGTATCCCTCAGTATCCTCGGACCTTGCGTCACTCCCAGAAACAGCCGAAGGAAGTACTACTGAGTCAGAGGTTGAAAATGCCAATCTGGCAGCTGCAGGAGTAGGCGCCGAAGACTGGGTGAATGCTGTAGAGTTTGTCCCTGGGCAACCATACTGTGGACGTGGTAAGCTGGTCATGGGATAACGGTGAATTCCTGTCATGGGTCAACAATTTAGTTGTTTTTATTGAGTACAGCTACTCATAAATAGTTTGAATTGATCTATCCTTACATTCTGCAAGGCATGGAAAGAACCATTTCACATCCACTACTTTTGTTCTCCTGATGTTCTAAAACTTCACGCAATCTCCGCGTATCTGGATTCCTCCTCTTACAGGTCTGAAAGGCTTGGTGAATCTCCTTCTTTGAAGCTTAGTTTGCATATACAATGGGAAAAGAAAATAATGTTTGCAATTTGCATGTCATTGCACTGAAAAGATAAAAACTTACAATCATATAAGACTTTATTATACTGTGACAGTTTGTTGAAAGTGAAGTTGAAGTTCATTGTGCAGGACTAGACTGTTCAAATCGCACACCTGGCTCTTGCATCCTCTGCAGACAGACAGCAATGAGATTTATGACCTTTAGGTGGCAAGGAGAGCTGCATGTGTGTATTGTAGCATGGTTTTCAATATCTGTCTCTCTACAATGAATACTTATGGCCATAATATTGAAATAATAGCTTCAATGCACACAAAATGGACACTTACCGTCCAGAAGAATATAAAGTTGTCAGGCAGTGTCAGGCAGCAATTCTCCAATTCTCAGATCTGAAAACAGCCATTACCTTCTCAGTGTTAGAAGGTGCTGCTCTGCTTTGATTTGAGGAAGAATGGAGAGGAAGGGAATGGTCCAGCAATGTTAACACTTAGCTAGTGTTGGAGAGAAGATAAAAGAAGAATTTGTTGGGGGTCTGTGACTTGAATGAAATCCAAAATAATAAAAACTTGTCTCCCACCTTTCAATGTCTCACCTTATTGTTGTAAAATATACAGCTTCTGTGTTTGAGACAGATAATACATATACATATTTCATATCCTAATCTAAGCGGAGTCATTCAAAATTAAGAGACATCTACATTTCATCTAGTTCACTTTCTGCCTAAAGCAGAGTTGGGCAGATCAGGTTGTTCAGGGCCTTGTACAGCTGAGTTTTGAATGTCTCCAAGAACAGAGATTCCACAACTGCTGGGCAACTGTTGCTGCTGCTTGAGTTCTTTCACAGAAGCTGTTTTCCTAATATTTAGTTGCTTTTTTTTCTTGCCCTGGCTTGTATTGTGCTTCTTGCACTGTTGCTGTGTCCATCCAAGAAGAGTCTGCCTCTGTATCTCTGTACTTTTCCCTTAGACAGTTAAAGACAGCATCAAGTTCCCTTCCATAGGGTGAACAAACCCGGTTTGCTCACTTTCTTATATCACGTGCTTCAGCACCCTGGTAGGGCGGGTGGGCCTGCACTTGCTAGTTTAAACAGCTTCAGTTCTTTTAAATATATTGTCATATCTTGCACCTTACAGGAGTGCTCCTGCTTTCTCTTGAGTTCCCGAAGCATAAGAGCTCTATGTTATGCTTTAACCTGCTTTGTCTTACCGAAGCAAGGTGCTGTGTTATGGGGCTTCTTTGTTTCTTTGCTTTTTAGTGGATCAGGCATATTTTTAATGGAAATTCAGGTCTGCTACAACATAGGTAACATTCTCAATCTATATCTCCTATACTGAGCAGAGCTAAGTGCTAATTCCCATGGCATTTTTCTCTTAAACTTGCATGTTAAAAGTTCCTTTGCATTTTATTTTATTTATTTATTTATTTTTAATGCTGAAGGTTCAGCATGGGTAATTGAACCTTGCATAACTTAGGCTACAATGCTCATCCCTTCTTATGAGACAGGACATTCTGCTAATGCACATAATTTTCTGATTCGGGGCTACATGTGATATCCTGAAGATGACTGTAATGCCAAGCAAAGAAAATAGTGACAGTTCCTCAAGTATTGGCTTGTTGAAGTGCAGAGGTGCTCCATTTCCAGGCTACTTCTGCTGCCTCCTTTAACTACTGCCTGGAAGGACAGGGAGGATAGATTTTTCTCTCTGGTGCATTTTGTGGGAAAGCTTGTCTTGCTTTACTCTTAATGATCCAAGTATGCCTTTTTAATAAATAGCAACAATAATACTTAAAATAATACCTCTCTAAATCTAGTGTTCACAAGGCTTATTTAAAAAAAAAAGAAAAGAAAAGAAAAAAAACACTATGGATGACTCTTCACTCTTGTAACAGCTATTGGTTATGTGAATGAAGTCCAGTTCTTAGCATTTACTCTTATTTGCTCCCTTCCATTTTTAAAGTTATATTAAGTTTCAAAGTTATTTTTTCCTGTCTTGCAACTTATCACCCTACTGATGTAATGATTGAGATCATTACATAATGGCATGTAACAAGTACAATACAAACAAGCATGTGGGAAAGAGCTGCAAGAAGCGGTAAGCAGAAGCTATCTAAATAGAGCAGTGTAACAGTGTTAGTTGAATTTAGGTTTAGACAGGGATCCTAGAAACTCCTGAATTTCTTTTCCTCGGGCTTTTGCAAAATTGACCGTTTACATAAAATGCTATGGAAATACCCCAAAGTTAGAGCCTCTTAAAACTAGGTTTACCTTCCTGACTCAGGCTGGCCCTTGGGTAAGGCCAGACCAGATACCAGTTTGGGAGGAAAGGTTTTTCGTTCCCTTGATTGCCCTTTTCACTGCTCTGAACTGGGGGCTGATGTCATTTGTCAGTATGCCAACAATGAAGAGAATCTGAGTCTGTATTTATAAAGGGTTTTTCTAAAGATGTTGCCTTAGCTAGATCATTCTCTAGTAAGTGATACATGGGTATATGTTTTTATAAGTATCTCGAATTAGTTTGGCAAGAGGAATGGTCAAAGCTCTTGTATCATTAATGCAGAATATGCATGGGAGTCTAGAGGTGTAAGTCACTTCAGCCTGAACAACATGCTCATGAAGCTGTGCATAAGAAAGTGCTTGTGTGGCATTTCTAGCCCGCATTAGTTACGCTGGATACACCTTTATTGCTTCAGTTATGCAATTTCTGGGGAAAAATAGCATGTTAATTTTAGCTGTTGTCAAAATGATTTACAAAGCAAGGAGATCTGTAACCTTGTTTAGTTGTTACTGATCCAGAATTTGGCTAAAGATATACTCAAATTGCTGAAAACTGGTGGGATTTCCAGTGCTGGACTTAGCCTTAACTGGGTTTGAGAGTCACCACTGAAACATCACCTTGGTAGTTACAGCCTTGGCAGGACTGAAGGATGAGTAAATCCCACTTAGAAGTTCTTCTTGTTTTCTTGAATGCAGAAAAATAACTGTTCACTGGGGCTGAAGGCTCGTGAAACTTGAGTTGAAAGGAGCCTTGCTTTTTATTACTCTTTTTGGATACCTTAAGTAGGGTTATTCAAGGATTTCTTTACACTAAACTGGTGTGTTCTAAACTTGAATATATTGCTCAGCGCCTTTAATTTTGTTCCCAGCTGCCCCTTCCTGCACTGAAGTGCTCTTGCAGGGAATGGTGATTGAAGAAGAGTACGAAAAGCAGCAAGCAGACGTGGAGATGAAGAAGCAGCTGTGCCCTTACGCTGCAGTAGGAGAATGTCGTTATGGAGAAAACTGCGTTTATATCCATGGGGATGTGTGCGATATGTGTGGGTTGCAAGTCTTGCATCCAGTCGATGCTGCGCAGAGATCCCAGCACATAAAGGTAGGCAAACATCTGTCTGGGGTTAAACAGCTCTAAGCTATTGCTTCCTAGCTCCCTGCAATCACTTGCTGCTGATTCGCTTTCATTTGAAGTTACGTGCAGGTCAGGCAGGGAATGAAATTCCTGTTGTAAACTGGACCATTTCCTGCCAGGGCCATATCTGGGCCAGAAGAGAAGTCTGTATGAAGATACTAAAGCTTTGTTCTTTGCCTAATAAAATTGGATGGTCTTTGAGGTTGCCTTTCTCATGTTTAAAAGCAATGTTTGCGCTTGTCTGAGGAGAGGAGTTTGAACTCTTAAGTTGATTGTTCCCCACTCTGAGCTCTAGGGTGTTGGTTCTTTTTTTATTTTTATTTTTATTTTTTAATTTCATTTTTAGGATAAAGACTCTGCAACTTAATCATTTCTCTCAATGTTGAAAATGGCAAAGCAAAGTTTAAAACTGAGTCTAAAAACTTGCTTAGCGTTCACAAGGTGACCAGCTGCCTCTGCAGTCGTTTTCTTTGTGTCTCCTTTTCAGTCTTGCATTGAAGCTCACGAGAAGGACATGGAGCTTTCATTTGCTGTCCAGCGTAGTAAAGACATGGTGTGCGGGATATGCATGGAGGTGGTGTATGAAAAAGCTAATCCTAGTGAGCGCCGCTTTGGGATCCTCTCCAACTGCAGCCACACTTACTGTCTCAAGTGCATCCGCAAGTGGAGGAGCGCTAAGCAATTTGAGAGCAAGATTATAAAGTGAGGCACTTTCCCATTTCAGTTGTGCTTTGTTACTATGGAAGAACTTAGTAACTTATGACAACTTGCAACAAGCTCCCCCCTGCACAGAGACTGCATTTACTAATTATAGTTTGAAATTGAAGTAATTGTTAGGGATAATATCTACACTCTGATTTGGTTAATATGGATTACGTTTGTAAAGCTCACTTAATGGTAGCAAATAACTGACTTAATTAGTAGTGTGTTGTCCAATGGTTACAGTTGGTTACGTCCTGGACACCCAGCCAGGATCCTGGAAACAGATTAACCAGTTCAGAATGTATGCTGCTTAACTCCTTGCTGCCCTAGTTCATTAGTTAGCTGACAAACCATTTCTCCATTTAAAGGCTGTTCTTTAAGGAAAAAAACAATCCAATAAATACAGAAATCAAACCAAAATAAATTTATTTAATTTTAAAGAAAAAGGAGTCTGTGTGAAGTGTTTTTTCAAGCTTTTTTGAGACGAGCTGACCAGCTGCCAAGTAGAGTTGTTAAAGAGAGTTAAGGGTGTAAGAGAATTATCTAGATTGAAAAGTCCATACAGCAAATGTGCGGTACAGTACATCTTTAAAGATGGGTATATACCATGTCTTGTTATTTAGGAACAACAGCATTCCTGTAATGTGGAATTTTGCAGCACAGTCTGTTCATTCCCCAGGTCCTGCCCAGAATGTCGAATCACATCTAACTTTGTCATTCCAAGTGAGTACTGGGTGGAAGAGAAAGAAGAGAAGCAGAAACTCATTCAGAAATACAAGGAGGCAATGAGGTACGAGCACTGCGGCCTGTTGTCAGCTTGAGACAGCAGGGACCAGGGCATGCCTGAAGAAGGGTGTTAATGTAGAGCCCTCTCATACCTCCTTTCCACCCCACGTATGAAGCGTGTCCTCGCATGCCCCCTGCAGATGCATGCAGCCACACAGGCCCTAGGCTCCTCCTGTGCACATGGACCTCAGCCTGTTGGTGCTGCGTGAGCACAACGTGGTGCTGCTGTAGCCTGAGGTAGTGGAGCTTGCGCCTTGTGGCCCACGGAGTCCCTGTGCATGTGTCCCCCCGTGCACCTCTGGGGATGCACATTGGTGTAATGCAGCGTTTCTGTGCCCAAGGGGCCGACTGGCAAAATGTCTTCAGCTTCCAATGGTAGCCAGGATGCTCTCAGACTATAGGTAAATGCAGTTCTGAAATCTGCCTGGGTGTGCTGTGAGTAAGGGTTGCGATATTTTCCTTTCCAGCAACAAGCCATGCAGGTATTTTGACGAAGGCCGTGGGAGCTGTCCATTTGGAGGGAACTGTTTTTACAAACATGCATATCCTGATGGCCGCCGAGAGGAGCCACAAAGACCGAAAGTGGGAACATCCAGTAGATACCGGGTCAGTAGTGCTTTTTCTTTTTTTTTGGCGTTTGTATACAGACAGAGAGCAAGAGGGGTTGTTAAATCAGCTGCCTTGAGAGGGGAGAATTGAAAGTAGGAAAACTATCCCAGAGACCTCTATAATGTTGGATTTGCAGGAGGTGGTGGCCTAAAGTAAGGGAATGCTGAAGGCTGAGGTGGCAAGAAAAAATTGCAAAGCTTCCCTAATGCACGGAGCTATTTGAGCAGGGACACTGGGCAGCTTTAGCCGGAGCGTGTCTGGGTAGATAGGTTCCAGCAGAGGTCAGCACCTCCCTGAGCAAGCAGCACGGTGCCCTGGCTGCTAGAAAGCACCTTGGGGGCTCCATGTCCCGGCCTCTGGGGAGACTCTTGCCTGTTCTGCTTGGTCACGCGGGGCGATGCCTGTGTTCCCCCCTCGCAGGCTCAGCGGAGGAATCGTTTCTGGGAGTTCATCGAGGAGCGAGAGAGCAGCGACCCCTTTGAGAACGACGAGGACGAGGTGGTGACCTTTGAGCTGGGTGAGATGTTGCTCATGCTGTTGGCAGCGGGAGGTGACGATGAGCTAACGGATTCCGAGGATGAGTGGGACTTGTTTCATGACGAGCTGGAAGATTATTATGACTTGGATCTATAGCACCTGTCAGTGGAGTGTGGACTGTCGTCTTGGCTTCAGGCAGTAGCTATTATTACCTGTGGTGTTGTGGCAGTGCCTGTGTTTCTCCTAGGCAGGCCTATCAATTCCAGGTGCTGTTGTAATAACTTTGACCCAGGGTCTGTCTCTTCCCATCCCATCCCGCCCTAGGAGTGTTGTTTTTTCTCTGTTTAAACAAATAACAAGAAATAAATCTTTAAAATGTTAGTTTTTGTAAAAATGAATTTAACTGTCAGACAGTTAGCTTAGGTTTGTTGCTTCATCTGTGTACCCAGCAGAGTTCACCCAGTTCAAGGGTTAAAGTGTTTACAGGACTTCCACACTCATTTTGAAGAGCCCAGATACAAAAATGAGCAGTGGCCATGCAGTGGGGACGAAAATTGGCTGATGGCCTTTTTCCTGCTATGGACTTCGTATCGATATTTCTGACTTCAGGCCAGACGCAAATACTTTTTCTGGCATCAGCTCCGTTCCAGCCCCCTCATGTACACGTCTTCATTTGTGACTTTGGTCTCTTGTTTACTTGCACATTACTATTACTACTGTGTAACCAGAACCAGGTGTGAATGTTCCGGGTTTTTACTGTGTTTAGCATGAAAGGAAAATGTCTTTGTGAAAGGAGAACTCTCTATGTGTATATACAGATAAATGTAGAGTTGGACCTCAAGGGTAGGGGGAGACTCTGTATAAGTTAAAATTAACTAAACCACCTTTCATCCCCTCTTGGTGCATGAAGCCTAGCCTCCAATTGGACAGGAAACTGGTTTAGCGCTCGCAGCCCACTCAGTGGCAATGATCTGTACCGTCAGGTATAACTTGAAAGACGGCGCTCCCTAATAAACCAGCTCTTTCCTGTGTATTATTAGGGTTGTCCAGGAGCAGAACCTCAGTTAGCCAAAGCGGGGCCAGCGCGCGTAGCCACCCTGGGGAGCACCAGAGGCCCCTGAACTGCGCGAGCTGCCGGTAGCCACCGGAGCCACGGGCTTTGCTAGGAAATCGCTGCACCACTCAGGCAGTCGCGGGGCGCCGGCCTGTCAGCGCCTGAGCCGGGCAGGTTGCCTGGTAAAGCTGTTCAGCTCGTGTGAGCTGCTGCTTGCCAGCTCAGCCAGGCAGTTTGTGGCTGTAATTGCATTGAGAAGAACTTACTGGGCCACCAAAGCTCCAGCACAGGAATTTTAACCTTGCATTACGGTAGTACTGTTTTTTTGGTTTTTTTATTGACTCGTGGATGCCCCGTGATCTGTTCTCCTGATGCTCTTGTCCCCTAGACTGCCTCTCCTTTCACTTTTAAATGGAATGAGCAATTGTTCCGAGGTCTATGATGTATTGTTTTGCAGCTGCCTTTTGTAAGAAGCACTTTTCCCAAATTAAAAAAAAAATAAAAATGAAACAAGTCTGCTTATTCTTTAAAGTAGAAAGTTCCTACTTTTCAGCTTGTGTTTTTTTTATATTTTCAAAATATAAAAGCTTTTATCTCTTATTGCCGATTTGTGCGTAATTATGTCACATTAATGGAAAATTTTTACTTGGTTATAACCTCTGTCCAACAAAGACCCTCTAGTATAACAGTTCTGAACGGATGACCGAGACTAATTAATAATCCAGACGAATAAGATGGAATAGAGGTAGCTTGCTTTCATGGAAGCACATTCGGAAGTATGGAATTACTTTTGTCCCAAGTACACATTCTGGTGATGTCGTGGGCTGCTGGTTTCCTGTTGAAATGCTGTTTGGACGGCACGTACCAGCGTTGCTGCTACAGGCTCCTTCACTTCCTGCTAATCCGCACCATCACGCACCGCACCACGAGCCTGCGCGTGTTCAGAAAGAAGCGTTCCGGAGGAATACCCAAAGATGGAGGTAAATTACTGGAAATGTATTCAGATCTGCTGAGGAAAATGACTGCAAACAAATTAACTGAGCAGTTGGAGATCAGCTTCAAGCTGTTTGGGGTTTTTGGAGAAGCAAGCAGCAGGACTGAAGGATTTGTGCTTAATTTGCACAAATACCATGAAAACAAGTTGGGGAACAAGAAGAACTGGATGCTACAATGCGGAACTAGTCTTTCCCACCTAATAAGTCTTTCCCATGTAATAAGCATAACTTACTAGCATCCCAGTGGACAGCTGTGGGCAGATGTATTCAACAGTTGTGCTTTTGTCAGAGGGAGAAAGGTAATAGCCCTGCCGGCCGGAAGGCAGCCGGCTCGGATTTCCTCTGTAATGGCTCAGTAGCGCTGCCGCCTTCGTGGTTGGTGACACAGTGCTGGCTGCTGCTCAGCTGCCCCTGTGTGCACGAGAGGAGAAGGGGGGACGCTCGAGTAACTGATTTGCTGTGGAGGTTGTTCTGTCCACCTACGAGCAGCCTGATGTAGTTGGGTGTGTCGTGGTGAATGAGGAGTTGCCATCAACCTTTTTGCTTTGAAGCGTGCTGTGGCTTTTGTTCTCCCAGTTAGAGAGCTACAGCTGTCTTAAAAGTGCTGCTGTATATCATTTTATAGTCTTTCTGTTTGACTCTAGCTGTCTGTAAGCTTGTTTATAAAATTGCTGGTGCACTAACAGTGAAACGACTTAAAACTATAGACTTTGAAGTGAATTGGGTGTAGTAGTAGGCTGTGTCTGGCACCGCAGCTATTTCCTGATTGTAATGGAATACGTATTGTAATTTTACTGGTGCCCAGCTCGTTTAATGAATTATATAGTAACTCTTCCCTTTCACAGGGCGTTCAAAATAAGTTAATTTTGAGGTTTTTAAGCTATACCTTGAGGATGAAAGGTGTCTTGTTTCTGGAACAAAGTTGCAGAGATGGGAGGAATTAATTCTTCAGTTTAACCTGTTGAGTAGATTAACCTCATACTTGCAGATTCTTTCTAGTTTTGGGGTGCAATATAGGATCATGTTGCAATAAAGGAGCTTCAAAGTCAGTTTTAATCTGCGTTAAGATTAGAGTCCTTTTTTACAGGGTTGCGATGTGCCTCATTTCAAGTAAGCAGAATTAAACAGAGGTAGCAGTGATTATGAACCATCATGTTCATAGACACTGCTGCAGCCAAGGACAGAAGAGGTGCAAATATGTTAAGATGCCTCCCTCTACTTGCTGCTGGGGCTCTTCCTTATCCTTAGGTACATTTATCACTTGCAGCCAGTCCAGAATCAACAGCCACTTGACAAGGCTTGATGTGGTAGCCTGAACAGAGCCAGCCTGTACAGGTAGCTTAGTTAAGGTCAGTTTTCAGATGGCACTAAAACTCCTCTTAAAAGCAGTGTTGCAGAAGGCACTGCCTCTAACTTTCAAACCAGTCATAATTCCTGGGAGGTGGCAGACTGTTCCGCTCTGGAATAGCTCCAGTTTCTCATTGTCCTGTTACAAGCCTCAGTCTCAGCTGTGTGTGCTAGCAGTGCAAGCACAACAGCAAGGAAAAAGATAGTTGAGATTCAAGTACTTCTAACTGGGTGCAGTTAATAAACAGTTCTACCCCTGTGCAGCTTGTCTTCACTCTGTCAGTGCAGCTCCTGCAACTGAAATAGCATTTGTGGACAGCGCTGTGAGAAGGGGCCCTTCCTCCAGCCTCCTACTGCCACTGAGGAGGAGGGTACAGGGTTTGCATGTGGTGCTGGGAAAAACAAACAACCCAATGAGGGTGCAGAACAGTTTGTCTCTTTTCAGTTTGCGTCTGGCTGCTCTGCAAGGGAGAGGCGCACAGGGCAAAGCAAGTATTTAAAACTAACTTTAAAAATAATAATAATAATAAAATAAAAAGGCAAGTAAAGATAAAGAGCCTCTTAAAGCTGCCAAAGGGCCTGGTGCTGAACAAAGTACAATTGCAGGGCTGCTGTCTGTGCTCCAGAGCTCGCTGTGGAGGAAGGGCTCACCAGGCAGCAGCTCCCTGTGCTGCGAGAGAAGGGCAGGAACTCCGGGAAGCTGGCGGTGCTGGACAGTTACCAGGATATGGACCTGCAGAAGTCTCCTCCAAGCTGTGGGTGAGCAAAAAATAATATAGAGCAGGACCCCCTAATTAAGGTAGTAGGTCAACTGGATCACAGAAAGGTTAATATGCTGGCAAGATCCTTTATTAGTTTGTGGCTAATGAAATAAAATAATAGGGAATGTATACAATGCTTTTTCTATTCGTATTTTGAAAATACTGATTTTCTGCAACTAATCTCTGAAATAGAACAAGATTTGTCTGCAGTGTAAGTGTAGATTAACAAATGTGTAAAAGTGTTATATTACAACAGAGGTAGGTTTTTTTTTTTTTCTTTTTTAAGGGATAGGAATATTAAATCTACATTTGATTATTTCCCTTGTGACGAGAGATAGAAAATAGTGTTCAGGAGGATGGGTTGTTACTTGTTCAATTACTTTGAAAAAATGTGTGTATGGTTGCTTAAATCGCTTTCAGTTATTAGGCTAATACAAAGGAAGATGAAAGTAAGATTTAAAAAAGCACACAGGTCAGAAATACACCTGAAGAAGGTAAAGCTTTCTCCACAGTAAGTATAGCAATTGGCTTAGAAACTAGCACTGATGCTTTTTCCCTTGGTTTACAAGTAGCTGAGTTAACATCTGCACTTGGCATCTAATAGCAAAGAACCTGGCCAGAGAAAATATCAATAACATCTTAGAAACAACATGTGCAAGACTATAAATCAATCATCACTCAGGGTTTTTTTTTTTTTTAATTGTGCTTCTCAAACAGGATTTTCCAGACAGTTTTGCTACATTTTTCCACCTTTAAGGAGTGTGAAACAGATAAACTGCCAGCTGATAGAAGGGCAGCAAACTAGTCTTTCCAGGGCTTCTTTGCATGTAACCAAACTGTATTTTATCATTAAAGAGTATGATTGCTTGTTCACAGTTTAAGAGCATAACTGATATACTCTGGTACATGGGGAATGTAGTCAAAAAGCTTCCTCTATGTAATATTTTTCTCCTTCCCTGTTTCCATCTACTGAAAAAAAAAAAAAAATCCTTCTACAATTCCTGTACGTAAGGGTAGCGAGTTCACCTACAGCAGAGCTTACATTTGAGGAGCAAAACAAAACCTAACTCGCACCAAGATGCTCAGCTGGGTTGAATATTTCTCTAGGGGAAGCTCTGCCTTACTCTGCCCTTATTCCTCTAAGATGAGGCTACCTTACTACACCCTCCTCACCACAGCTAAAATTTACAGGCTTTAGAGTCTCCTCTACACCCCCTTAGAAATTTAGAGGCATCCTCCTAAGCTGCCATTGGTCCTGCACAAAAACTACAGCAGCTTTTAAGGCACTATTTTAATCAAAAGTCTTATCAGCAGAAGGCAAGGTTGGCTTAGGAGCAAAAAGAAAAAAATAAAAATAAAAAAACCTTTCACCTCACCATTAATTCAGGCCATTATTGTGAACGTGGAAGCTTCATTATTCCCAGTATGCCTGCAGAGGAATGGCAAGATCAGTGCTGCAGCTGATCCTTATGATTAAGGAACAAAAGGACAGACAACTCTCCTCACCCCAACAAGAGGGCTTTTGGTTGCCTCATATCATTCTGCCTGCTCTAACATCCTGGGCAAAGCTCTAGGCCCTCTAGTGAGGGAATACACAGAGAGATGACAAATTCACATACATCTTACCAGTGCTGGAATTAAATTCCTTGCACTGTGTGCTTGTGTCTGACATCAGGACCTCCCCTAAAATAGGAGGTTAGGCGGCAGTAAGTTAGTCCTGTTCAGGGTAAGCAAAGACTAAAGAGCTTGCACAAAAATGAACTCTGTATCTCAAAGCTCAAATCAATGTGGAGCTCTGGTGCAAATTTACCTTCTGGCACAGCCAGAAAACCACTCAAGGATAAAACTGAAAGGCCACTATGTTGACAGTCCTCTTTGGTTAAGGCACTGCTGGCAGCTTCCCAAGTCCACCCGACTCAGAAGTCCACGTCACAGAATCTGCTGCCAGGTTTAAAGCAACCGGTGCTAACAGCAGCCACAATGACCTCAAGAAATACTTACAGGTCAAACTGCAAGGTAGAGATAATAAAGAAAATGGTTTGAGGCACAGAGCAAACTTCCATAACTTGAACAAAACCATATTGCACAGCCTCAAGAGAAGAAAAGACAATTTCCAAATTCTTGTTCCCAAAACCTCTCTTCAACAGAGGCACTGGGTCTTCTCTGCACTTGGACTGGCAATCACTGGTCTGGAGTCAAGGTAGATGCTGTTTGGAGGATTCTCTCCGTGAAGCTGCAGCGTATTTCGGGCCATTAGCTCCTTAGCCATTAGCAGAAACACTTCCTCAATGTTTTGGGCTTCTTTTGCTGATGTCTCCAACACGGCCAAGAGCCCATACTTCTCTGCCAGGGTGCACGCATCCTCAAACAGCACCTGGCGCTTGTCTGGTGAATCTGATTTGTTCCCTGGAAAGAAGGCAGATAAATCATGAATTAGTTTAGTCTTTCGCAAAAAGTATATATATATATATATATGTATATATATGTACACACACACACACATATATATATGTATATAATGTTATTTCACAAAATCAGTTTGTGTTTGGAATGCTATTGGAAAACCAAGATGTGAACCAGAAAGCCAAGCCCACACATCATGCCTCAGAACTACAGTGAATCTGATAATATCAAACGATTCTAAAAACAAAACAAAGGCACTCCACTATGGACACCTAATTATTTGCTATAGGTAGAGTTGCCAGGGGAGTCTTTGGAAATAACCATGTCTCCCTACTCCTTATTAAACATTAGGAGGCATTTAACTTGCATTAACAGTAGTGATTGCATAGGATAAGCAGAGAGAGCCTTGCCTAAAAGTCTCTGCCTCATTCAACATTTAATGAGGGCCACATGTGTTTTGCTGTTGTCAAGCTCCTTTGCCACATTTCACATTGGAGGCTCAGTACAGAGGATCTGGAATGCTGTTAGGCTAATGCAGAAAGGAGAAGAACCTGCACAACTGTTAGCGCTCATTTTTTCACATTATCTATTTGTACAACTACTATCAGGTCTGGTACACAGCGTTTGGCAAGTCTTACATGCTGAGCCTCGAGACAGCCTTTCATTAAAATCAGGTCTTTAATTTGAAGCAAAAGTGAGAGTGCTCTTCCCCAGACAGCTCCCTTCAGTTCCCAGGGAAAAACATTCTCCTCCCCTTCCCCTCACTAGCACTATCCCTGCTTGAGGGCTATTTGCTTTCTTGAAAAACAAACAACAACAACAGCCTTCCTCCTCCAGCCCCAGATGGGAAAGTCATATATCTTAGCCTTTCATAGTAGAAAGATGTCCTAAAACGTCTACACGTAACTAAATGTATAAATAGTTCCATCTGGAAGCAAGTTAAAAAAAAAAAAAAAAAAAAAAAAAAAAAAACAGCACCAGCTTTGGAAGAAAGCACTGATCAATAAAATAAAATAAAAACATCTTTAGTTTATCCATTACAGAATTTCTTTCTCAATAAAAACCCCAACCAAAGCGGAAAAAGCCCCCACTTCACTCACACAAAGAAGTCTATTTTCTTACAATGCAAAGAAAAACCCTACCAAAGTCTTATTCAAACCTACTTATTCGTAGTGGACACTGCAGTTTGGGATTTGCTGTTTGTTTCTGCAGGGTGGAAGGATGCAGCCTTGCACCAGAAACGCCCCTTCCAGTGGCAGATGATTTGCAAGGGGCACAAGCGGGAACTTGGCCTCCGGCCGCGCTACAAAACCTTGGGTCTGGGGCTGCCTTGGCACACTGCCCTGGTGGAACAAGCACGAGCAGTGGAAAGGAGATACAGGCTCTGCCACTTTACGGGGTCAATTCTTTCATTTCTGACCTCTTCCTTAGGGGAGGGAAGAGGAATAACCACCTGAAACTTGAAGGGAAAAAAACCCACCCTACTTCCTACCAGCTCCAGTCTCAGCATTTCTACCCACTGTTTTCTTGAAAGGGCAAAATTTGAGGAGCGCATGTTGGATAGAGCAGTAGGAAGGCAAGCAGAGACCTCGGCGCTCTGCAAAGGCCATCTCCTACCTGCTGTCTTATCTGGTCAGGCTCTTGTTACAGAGCAAAGCACATGCGTATCAGCAGGAGAAGATGAGAAGAAGGAGTTGTGTTGCTCTGCACATGTCTCTTCACCTCAAATTATCAAGCTGCTACACTCCTCCTGCACATCAGGAATATGGGGTCAGATGTGCAGGAGGCAAATCTAACATCGGGGGTTTGTCTCTACTTGGTAGACAAGCAGCAATGTGTTCTGTTAACCCAGCTTAAAAGCAAGTTTTTAAAGTCTGCAACAGAAAACAAAAAACAAACCTCTAAGTCACCTTTTTGGCTTGCTCCTGTCAAGGGCATCCATCTGCAACTTACCCTCTTTTTAATTTTACGTCAAATTGTTATATGCATTGATCTCTTATAACTAAAACTGTTCTTTAATGCAAAGTCTGTAGATTTTTTTTAGTGGGAAATCAGGGAAATTTTACCCCTATATATAGCTAGAAAAGGCCATACATCAGAATATTGAAAGTTAGATTCCTACCAATTAACATCATGACCAGGTTTGCAGCACCATACTTTTCAATTTCATGAATCCAGTGAGGAATGGACTCAAACGTGGACCTCCTAGTAAGGTCATAAGCAAGAATGGCCCCATGAGCACTCCTGTAGTAAGACTGGGTTATCGTCCGGAAGCGTTCTTGGCCGGCAGTGTCCCACACTTGGATCTGCAAGAGAAAGGATAGAAGCTGTGAAAACACGTTACTTCCTGCGTGTTTGCCACCAAGAACTGACTTCTGAAGCCCCTGGTCCTTGTCTACAGCACAGCTAGAGCTGTCCCACCTCACTCCACTGCGACTTTGCCTTAGCCAGGTCCGGAGGCCTTTGCAGAGCTGTATACGCTGCTGTGCAATCTGCACAGACAAAAGAGCAAGCCACGGGAGCAAAGCCACTTCTGGCAAAGAGGCCAAGCAACCCCATCTCAATGACTGTGCTAAGAAAGAAGTATAAAGTGTCATAGTCTTTTCAGAGAACGTGAGAAAGGGTGGAGGAGCCCTGCTGCAGGGCCGGGCAGAGCGAAGGAAGGGGCTACAAGAGGGGCTGCAGGACAGGTCGCCTGAGCCTTCATCCATACACAGAGGTAAGTTCTAGCTAAGTTCTGGTGTCCACCCTGCGAGTTTTCATCCTTGCCCTCAGGTCGAGCACTCACCAGAGCAGAGCCATTGAACGGAAAGCCCTCGGGTTCTCCTTACTTGCTTCCCTGGGCTCATCTCCCACATCTCATAAAGAGGGCAGAGGTGCCCCCTCCTCTGTTCCAGGCCCAAGGAGCTCCCAGGGAGCTCTGCAGAGGAGCCAGCCACAGGCTCTCCCGACAGGTTGGGCTAGAGCAGCCGTGAGATCACGGGTGCTCCCAAGCCGGGGCAGCAGCCGCCTCCCCCAGGGCAGCCCTCGCTCCGAAGGGCAGCTCCCCTCCGCGAGGCTCCTGAGAGGGGCAGCAGGTACACTTCGTGCATCCCCTTTGCCCAGGCAGGACAGGGGACACCGCGCTGCTCCCTTGAGGTGACACAGCCCCGGCCAGCACTCTGGCGTGACACACCGGTGGGAACGGGGACCATCCTGCCCCTCCAGGAGGGAAGCCCCTCCTGCCCATCACGGCTCTCCTCGAGCAGCCCAGGGCCCGTTCCCCAACGTAACCTTCACTTTCTTGCCGTCGATGTCCAGCGAGCGCACGGTGAAGTCCACGCCAATGGTGTTCTGCTGCTTCTCGTTGTACTGGCCCGTCTTGAAGCGGTGCACCACGCACGTCTTGCCCACGTTGGAGTCCCCGATCAGGATGATCTTGAACAGGTAGTCGAAGGCCTCGTCCGCGCCCGACGGCGAGAAGGGCATCGCGGCTCCCGGGCAGAGCCGCGAGGGCGCCGGCCCCACGGGGAGAGGCGGCGGGAGAGGCGGCCCCGGCCGGGGGCTCGCGGCGCTTCCCTCCC